ATTCAATTGCTCAAATTATTCAAAAGTCTTTACTCTTGTTGAAGAAAAAATACTACTGCAAATGTTGACAAACAACACAGATAGCAACTAATTCTGTAATGTAGATTTCCATCCCAAAAGTAATAAAACAAGTCATATATTAAAATTCCAAATCAGGATTGGCCTCTCCATTAACAGCAATTGCAACTATTTGTTATTAATAATTTCCTGAAAAGTCTATTTTATCAAAACCAAAATGTTATTAGTCTTATTTTAAAATCCAAATAAGCTAATTTCACTTTCTTCAAAGCAACCTTCCAGTAGGGTATAAGAATCATACATGTCAGTTTATTTCCAGTTTAGAATCTTCATAGAGAAACTGATGTCTGAGAGCCTTTTTCTGAGATGAATGAAAAGAAAATGCAAATCAGTATTATAAGCTACACAAATATGTAGCTTTTTAATACACACACACACACTTTTTTCCCCTTCTTTTCAATCATATCCAGTTCTCAGGGTCTGCCTGAAGAAGTCTCCACAGTTTTCTTGGCAAGGTTTTTCAAAACCTCCCCATTGCTTCCTTCCTAGGGATAAGAGAAAGTGACTGGCCCAAGGTCATTCAGCTGGTTTTTTTTTTTTTGTTTTGTTTTTTTGTTTTGCCTACTGCAGGTCTCCCAGTTTCTAGCAACTTACATTTTTGTTATAATACTTACAAATCAATTCCCAAAATAATGAACAATTGGATCAAGAATTATAGAATTAATGTTAGAACTGTAAGGAAAGGAAATGTGGGATAAAATACAAGACCATTAGCAAAATTAAAGTGAAATTATTAAAAGAAGCAGCTACTCAATAATAGACATTGTCCTGAATGTTTCAGAATGTATCAAAAACATGGAACTTTTGTTATTTGAATACTGGTTTTGAAATATAAGCTGATGTATCCCATCTTTTTTCCAACATGTTTTGTAGGAATCTATCTATCTATCTATCCATCTATCCATCCATCTACCTATCTATCTATCTTATCTATCATTTATCTCAGGGATGATATCTGAACCGATTTGGTACCGGTTCGCTGGCCATGCATGCGCACTACGTGCCAAGTGTGTGCTGTGTGCGCATGCACACTGCACACCAAACATGCGCTGCCTGTGCACCAAACGTGCTGCATGCACAGTGTATACCAAACATGTTTTTAAAAGCTACCGGTTCGAGTGAACCAGTAGTTAGCTGGTTCGGTTGAACCAGTAATTTAAAAAGTTACTGCTTCATCGAACCAGTAGTTTAAAAAAGCTACGATCCAACGATCACCTGTGCCGCGCGGTTTACCTTTGCTAGAAAGCAGGATTTCCTGCTTTCTAGCGAAGCTAAACTGCATGCCACAGCTGTTCCCCCCCTCGCTGTTTTACTTACCTTCTCAAGCCTCCTTTTGGCGCGTACTGCGCGCACGCGCACCTGCGCATTACACATCAAAAGGAGGCTTGGGAAGGTAAGTAGAACTGCAAGGGGTGGATCAGCTGTGGAGTGCAGTTTAGGTTCGCTAGAAAGCAGGAAATCCTGCTTTCTAGCAAAGCTAAACTGCGCAGCACAGGTGATTGTCGGATCGTAGTTTTTTTTAACTACTGGTTCAATTGAACTGGTAGCTTTTTTTTACTACCAGTTCACCCGAACTGGTAGTTTTTATCGCTAGTAGTTCACCCGAACTGGTAGCGTTTCACCCCTGATCTATCTCCAAATTACTTGGCTGCATTTTCAACAGTTCTAACATTCTTAAGCAAAACAATTAACTACAAGCAGTATATTTTAGGGAAATACAGTATATAACTTCCCTTCCAAATCAAGCTTATGTTAGATGATGTTATTCCAAAACGTCTGTGAATGGGGCTACTGTAATTAGACTGCAAAAATCCCGGCAACCAATAGACAACAGCAGAGATAAATAGAACACTGTAATTCTCTTCTCTCCATGTAAATCTGATTTAGGCATCCAGGTTTGGTTGCCCTAGCCTAGGTGAATATGCTGAAGGCAATAAAACTCTAATATCCACTTATTGTCTTCTTTAGTGCTACAAAGTCTACTTTCTAATTTGCAGTACAGTATTGTTTGACATCTCCAAGAGTTGGCAGGAAAACTGCTAATCCAATTGCTTGATTTGACTGTAGCAGCAGCGATCAACTGTGAGCTTGCTTGCCGCTTGTTCAAATTGGCAACTTCACCCCAAGCTGATAGGAGCAACAGACATTTTTGCTGACTGGAGTCAGGCTATCTTTTCCAGTTTGCTGGAATAGACACAGACTCTGACTGGGCCATGCTGAAAACATTCCAGTCCTATGAAGCAAGTCGGTTTGTATTTTAGGTTTGGCAGGACTAATGAATTAAACATCTTGGCCTCCAGACAATTGGCTACTTTAATATGGTTCCTGAAAAAAGGGGGGGGCTGAGGAAGCATGACAATGCTGTAATCTTTCATTGCAGGGAAGGGAAGGGACGGTGGAATTGGGACGGAAAACAGAAAAGGGTGGTCCTGAGGGCGTAAAAAGCCTATGGGAAGTGCAGGTAGCAGCATGTTGTCCTGACAGCTGTTTCAACTTCTCAGACCTTGTCAGTTCACTGCTATGTAGCAGGTGCAGCCTTTTCTTTTCCTGAATCTTTACTCCATAAAGGCAACAACAAGTCAAGGCAGAGGCTGGCCCTGGATTTATACAAGTGCAGACACCACTAAGTGAGGTAAGGCAACAGGTGTGAAAACCGGACTAACTGATTGAGTTGTAACCACACTTGGGTTCGGGAGCTGAAGTTTTTTAGATATAAGCAAAGTGCATGCAGACTCACAGATAAGCCAACTAAAAGCCGTTTCCTAGATGACTGTTTCAGACATAGAATACAACAATCAAAGCTTTCTGTCTTACACAAAAGAAAAGATCAAGGTGTATGTTTGAAGCAGTTTTATTTAGTTCCTCATTTTAGTTGATACATGAACATTATATCTTCACTCTGTACTTTCTACAGTTTCCTTTTGCTTTATTTTTCTAAGAGGAAAACCTCTTGGATATATATTATATATATATATATATATATATATTGGAGAAAAATAAATCTGTACTGTACAGATCTCTCGGGAAAGCTTAAAACTGGATGTTTGAAAATCCTTTTATGGCTTTTATTAAAAGAAAAAAAAATGTACAATTTATTTCAAGTTTCTGGCTAAATTCTTTATATTTTTTAAAAAATTTAATAGCACAATCTTTTCTAAGAAACAATGTAATTAAAGATAGAGTTCATGTGTTTTTATTATGTAGTACTTTCATGCTTTTTTAAACTTTTTGGTAAGCCACAGAATTAATGGAATAAATTAGAGACTACATTTGTAGCATCTCTGAAGCTTCCATCTAGGATATGAAGTCATAATAAACTAGACTTTGTATTTACTGAATAGAACAGCAAAACATAATTTTACTTTTCTAATCTAAACATGATATATGAGGTTTTCTTCTTACAATTTGAGGTCTACTACTGTATTTTGGATAAAGACTGTTAATCCAAATTTTGTTTATATCATTTTATCTAAAGTATGACATAATTCACATATTTATTTGAATTTTATTTAATTTGCAAGGCTAGCAAAGTAGAAATTTTTGTCAAACTGTTTTCAGAATCAACAGGATCTTATACTGCAGGGTCTTTTACTAGCATCTTTGTCTGATATAGGTAATTCCAGTACCTAACATACATGGGCAGCAAAAGTTCAGAAACCAACCAGTAGCACAAAGAGCTATAGAACTCTCTTTCTTTCCATCTTGCATCAGCCTGAATTTTTGCAACTTAAGTATAATTGCCTTATCAGTATTTTGAAAAAAAAGAGGGACATCAGCAAGCTATTTTAAAAGCATTTTACGACTTATTGTTTGTTAGGTGCAAAAAAGTTTAGCTTGAGGCAATACAATAATATGTATTCTGTTATACTATGGAGTTATACTATGGAATAGTTTATTATAAACTTTGAGATGATTAATGTAGTTTAAAAATGTGAAATGTATTAGTATTCTCCACTACCTATAAATTACATTAGTATATTATCCTGAAATGAATGACAAAGATTCCTGGATTAAGTATACAGTTAATTATTATTATTTTTTTCATAATCAGATGCAAGGTAAATTGGAAATTAGATATACACTGGTCAACAAGTTAAAAGATGTCATGCTCAATTTTTATTCAGTTTACATCTCACCAATAAACCAGTTTTAATTCTGTTTTATATTTTTACCTGTATAGCTATAGCTCTTAGACTTATATACCACTTTACAGTGCTTTATAGCCCTTCTAAGCGGTTTAGAAAGTCAGCATATTGCCCCCAATAATCTGGGTCCTCGTTTTACAGACCTCGGGAGGATAGAATCTTGCTGCATGAAGAGTTATCTGTTACTATAACAATAGCTATCTTATCTGAGCTGAAAAGGAATACAGAAAACTCTAATTATGCACTATCATTTTTGGCTATTGAGATTTTTTTTAGACTTATTCTATTAAAACAATAGAGAAAGCCACACACACGATTATACACACGATTATATTCTGACACCAGAGAAATTGCAGTGGCCTAGTTAGCATAGTTTTTCCAAACGGGAAAAAACTTGCACATTTATGGATATAAAAGCATACTTGATATTTAGTGGATAGGAGCAATACATATGGTAATATATCTAAGATTTATTTTACACAACAATTATACCAGTACCAGTTGTCTGTATGACACAGTTTCCAAGACAAGTTTAAACTAAGATTAAGTTGTTACAATTTTAAATTGTATCTAAAAAACTTTCCTCCACTCCCCTCCCAAGAAATATTTTGGGGTTTACTTAAGATCTGGTCTTTTCCATATCCTTCTTCTTTCCTGGAGAACAGTACATCTTGACATCAAGGTAAAAGTATAATTTTTCAACCCCATTCTTTTTAGATCCAGGAAACCTCACCACTTTCGAAGTGCTTCTTGTCTTATGTGGTTGGAGTGTTCCTGGAGCTGCCTGATCTGGCAACTGTGATATTTGCTCTAGTCATTTGCCATTACAATTATAGCAAAGTGCCCCATGGGGATGTCTTAAAAGAGATTGGGAAATTACAGCAGATTCAAAATGCAGCAGCAAGACTCTTCTCAGGTACGTCTTGGTGAGAGCATATTTTATCTACTCTGCCTAAGCTGCATTGGCTCCCAACTGATTTCCAGATCAAATTCAGTGTGCTTGGTATAAATCATTAAACAGCTGGGAGTCTGCCTACCCTGTAGAAAAGTTCCTCCATAATGGTGGTCTGGGAGCTATGGTCTTCAGACAAGGGTGCTACTACTTCAGAAGGCTGTAAGGTTTGGAGAAATCATTATATGATCAGTCTCCCTTTAGATTTACTTTGTTGGAAGCACTGCAGAATATAGTTTTGTAAAATAAATAAGTAGATGTTTCAGACCAGGCTGGATTTCAAAGCATCAGATATGGTGTAAAGGCTGCAATATAAACTCACTCTGTTGCGTGTACAATTTATCTCTTTCCATCTGACTGGACTGAGTTTTGTTTAGAAATTAAAACTGGAAGAGTGTACTGCCATCACTTTACAAGATCATTACCACTTTCAAAATAAAATTACAATAGGATGAGTGGGTAAATGATATAGTATTTTCCTACCTCCATTGTTTCCAGTTGTATTTTGTTTTGTGTTTTGCAACAATTTGTTGAATCGAGAGAGGGCAGGCAAAAGATGCTATAGGCTTTCTCTTCATCACCTGTGACCAAGTTAAATAACTTTCTTTGAAAAACAGAAGTTCCGGAAAATGGATTGTGGAGAAGGAATAGTTGGGCATCTGCCCATCTGTTTGAAGGACATGCCTGTGGAAGGAGAACATGGAGATACTTAGACTGGACTTTTTTTTAGAATTATCAAGAACTATGGTTATCTGTAAGGATCAACATATGGTTTATCATTCATTTTGTGACAGTGTAGCCAGGAATGAGTATCAGTTGAAGGTACCTGTGCAGAAAGGCTTTAGGCTATTTCCAGATAGTCAGTTCCTTGTGATGCCAGTCAAAAAGTCATTTATATTGCTTAATGCACTGTAAGCTGCCCTGAGTCTCTGGAGAAGGGCGGCATATAAATCAAATTAAAAAAAAATTACTAGGTGTGTTCTCTCTCTCTCTCACCAGAATTTCCATTGTAACTCGTTGTGGTTGTAAACCTGACCCAATTTTATGACCATTTTTACAAAGGTCGTTAAGCAAATCACATGGTCATTACATGAATCCAACTTGTCCAATGGGCTTTTTTTTTTTTTTTGCTAGAAATCAGCAAAAAACTTGCCTATTGTGATCACATGAGCACAGGCTGCTGCAACTGGTCATAAATGCAAGCTAGTTGCCAAGTGCTGCAACTGTGATCAGATGAACATGGGACGGTGTGACAGTCATAAATGAAAGTACAGATGGTAAATCCTTTCTTTCAAGGCCGTTGTAACACTGAACCATTATTAAACAATCATAAGTCGAGGACTATCTTTAAGCTTCCCTAAAATGTCATGACTGTCCAGCAGCAGTTAAAATAAAAAATGTGGCTCTAGTTAGGAGTTAGGAAGAAGAGTTATTTTTTACTATAAATCACTGTTGGCATATGAATTATAATTAACTCTTCTGACATTGTATAAAAAGTGGTGTTAGTATATGGTAGCCTCAAATCAGAAGGATTTGGTAGCTTTTTTAAAGATTAATTTTTATTAAAAAGGATGTGTTTTCGTGAACTATAGTTCACTTCATGAGAGTGATTCTGTGATTTCCTACAACTTGTATTAAAGTAACCATGATGAACCTCAATGAAAGTGCATAATTTACATAGGAATTAAAGGATCACAGCTTATCCACAGATCAGCCTAACCTAGTAACCTAATTTTTGGAATGGTGTTCCAGAAAAGCTATGCTAGCTGTCTGCATAGTATATAGTAGGTTTGAAATGTCATAAGCATTTTGTTTAGCAAGCTCCTATCATTCAGGACTAATATGAGTTAATTGTTCTCATGCAATCTGTTAGCCTGTTTATCTATTATAGTTGCATCTAGTTACATGCATGCCCATAATACTATTCCCTTTTGGGAACATTATGCAAACTACAGAAATGTATTAAGAAATAGAAAGTCACTCCCTCAAAAGACATAATGTAAAAAAAGCTACATCAATACCATCCACATTGCCCATCTCCATTCTGCCCTTGATTCTACCACATTCTATGGTGAAAGTCAGTTTAACAGCTGCTAAATTGCATTCATTGACTCAGATTACACTTTGTGCTAAACTAAATTATGGTGGTTTGTTTTAATCCTTGCTTCCATAGTAGAGTTAAAGTTAAAACAAGTCAACTGCATCAGCACAATGATTCATACAGATAGTTTTTTTTTAAAGTAAACACATATTCATCAACAGAAGACCAAATATTTAAAAAGCATAATACACAGAATTCGATGAGATCAGCACTTCCATTTAATTCAAATGCTAGCATTAGAATTATATCTGCCGCTGTCACTTGATACAGCAGTCTAATTAACAGTTGCTGGAGACAACTGCTTGATTCTATCTAATGATGAACTAATCTAGAAAAAAAACTCTGATCCTTCTGCTTTTAATTTTGAAAATAAAAAAACAAAACGCCAGAGGTCATTGAGGGAGGGACTGACTTGTATAAGCCAGTCAAATTTGCTCATGATTATCACACACAGCACAATTCTATAATTTGCTCTGCATTTCTGTAGAGTATGTCAAATATTTAAATAGACCCTCTGTTATCAAAGTAAACATTTTCTGCATTTTAAAATCTCTCTATTTTGCATTTGAATATAAGAAGATATTATGGGGCCATAATTTCATTAGGGAAAAGAAAACATATGCCTAAAGGGCATCAGAAATAGTTAAAAAATCTGGCAAACAGGTTGCTTTAGTCTTTATAGATGCCCAGAAGGCATTTGATAGAGTTAATTGGGACTACATATTATTACAACTAGAATATATGGGCTTTGGGCAGAGGTTTATAAATGCGATTAAAGCTATCTATACTAAACAAAGGGCCAGATTACTGATAAATGGGGACTTGACAGAAGAATTTTCTATTGATAAAGGCACAAGACAAGGATGTCCTCTGTCCCCCTTACTTTTTATTCTATCATTAGAAACACTACTATGTAAAATAAGGAATGAGGAAAAAATTAAAGGCCTTGCAATTGGACAACAGATATATAAAACCCAAGCGTTTGCTGATGATATGGTTTTTATTTTGGAAGAACCCGTAGAATCTTGTTTAAATTTATTAGAGACAATTGAAAAAATCAGAGCTGTAGCAGGGCTATCAATAAATAAAAAGAAAACAAATATATTAACTAAGAACATTTTAGAAGAATCAAAAGGAGATCTGCAGAAGACAACTGGATTAAATGTAGTGAATAAAGTTAAATACCTGGGAGTGTGGCTTACCAATAGGTGTTCGAGTCTACAGGAGGACAATTATAATAAACTACTAGCCCAAACCAAAAGAGATCTAGAAAAATGGGGAAAAATACAACTCTCATTACTAGGACGAGTAACAACAGTAAAATCTTACCTTTTACTGAAGTTCAATTTCTTATTCCAAACTGCCCCAGTCAACCTATCTAAAAAAAATTTTAGGGAGCTAAACCAATTAACAACTAAATATGTTTGGCAGAGGAAGAAACCGCGGATCAAAAGAAAGATGATGCAAGAATTAAGAAAAAGAGGAGGTTTAGGATTACCTAGTTGGGAGAATTATTATTCGGCTGCATTATTAACTTGGGTAAAAGAATGGATTACCTTAGGTAATAGTCGTCTCCTTAAATTAGAAGGGTTTGACCTTCAACAAGGGTGGCATAAGGCACTTTGGTGTGAGAATACCCCACAAAGTAAATGGTTTACCCGACACTACTTAAGAAATATCTTAATTCGAAATTGGGAAAAAGTTAGTAGAAAATACTACACTAAAACACCTTGCTGGATAGCACCTCTAGAAGCAGTGACACACCCCAACCTTTACAATGTGGCCAAAAAACTAACATATAAGGAGTTGATGAACATACAAGGGAGATTAAAATCTAGACAGGAACTAAACTCCAAAGGGGTGCAAATAGATTGGTGGAGTTACTTGCAGTTCCAATCTAAATTTCAAAAGGATAAAGATGGGAAAGGCATTAATGGGGACACACAAGAGCTAGATAAAATTCTGATGGGCCAAGAAAAAGGCATGACCTCAAAAACTTATAAATTGCTTATGAAAATGGAGATAGGTGAGGAAACAGTTAAGGAAACCATGATCACTTGGGGAAAAAATTTTGGATACCCAATATATTTAGACAAATGGCAAGAGATCTGGTGGGATAATATGAAATTAGTTGTATCTACGGCGTATAAGGAAAACATCTATAAGATGATATATAGATGGCATCTACCCCCCGATAGATTAGCAAAAATGTTCCCGGGGCATACGGCAGAATGTTGGAAATGCGGGTGGGAACATGGCACTTATTATCATCAGTGGTGGACGTGTCCGAAAGCAACGGAATTTTGGGGGAAAATAAAAAAATGGCTCAATGAGATTTTAATGGTAAAAATAGATTGGAGACCAGAGGCATGCTTGCTCAGGTCCAAGCCGGAAACTATAAAAAAGGATTTGTGGTATTTGGCTTTACATATCATCACAGCGGCGAGGTTGATATACGTCCAACTCTGGAAAAACCAGAATATCCCAACAGAAGAGGCTATTATTAAAAAAACCTTAGACTGTGCGGAAGCGGATACATTAACTAAAAAATTAAAGGAGAGAGAGCAATCACAGGGAGGTTTAGTATGGGATAAATTTTATAAATGGCTAGAAAAGAGGAAAGTAAATCCCATTTTAGAGGAGGAATGATATCTATTGAGAAACCTATCCTATATAAGATAAGTGAGGTCGGACAGACCTAATTGATATATTAAGGCATGTAAGTTGTTTTGTCTTCCCCGGATTATAATGTAGAGATACAGTACCGAATATTTGTGTATTAAGAAGTATGTATGTTTATTGTTGTTTTGTTTTTTTGTGTGTTATCTTTTTATGATGTGTTGTTTCTATGTTTTTTAACGAAAAATGTAAATAAAGATTATTTAAAAAAAAAAAAGAAATAGTTAAAAAATCTAGATAGAAATCTCTAGTTGAACATAATTTAAAACATGTTATAGGAACATATCTGATATGCACCATCAATGAATTTGCATGACCTATAAAAATTTGCTATTTTATTCTCTAGGTGAAACATACAACTAGACACATAGATTCGAGTGCCCACATGATCACCACAGCAAGGGTACCTGCTGATAAACGGATACGAATTGCCTTCAGTTTAAATGATTCACCAGGTAATAATCTACAAAAATATTCTTTTGCTTGTCTTTGTTTCTTCCAATTATATTGTCTTTACTTTCAAAGGAGTATTTTATTTTTCTTAGGTGGCTGAAATTATATTTAAGACGTTTCCTGTAGTATTATTTAAAACATTATATTCAACTCTAAATTTTCTGAAATGTTTAAATGTATACTTTTTAACTACTATTTTTTTAAAGGGGGGATCAATCTCGGTACTTAAAATATATCATTTTCATCCAAGTCCAAAAATCCATCTATTGGAAGGTCCAATACCTGCCTTTTGTGCAACTTTGACTAATGCTCATATTCATTACCTCATGATAAGAATTGTTGGGGACCAATCCTGTAAGGAAGGCCAAGTTGATAAACGCCCCAGTCCCAGAACCATCTGGAAAGTCTCATGTTTGAAAATGAAATTTGTAAGTAGCTTAAATCCAACTTTCCGAAAACACCTTTCTGGACATTTAATATGTCCAGATATGATTTAAAAAAGACAATTAAGTATAAATAAACCATATGAACTGTACCAAAGAAAAAGCTTGTAAAAGATATTTTAGGAAAAAGTTATGAATAAAAAAACAAACCATTCAGAATCTTATGTATGTTTAGAAGTAAGCTAGGAGTATCTAACTTGAACTGCTACTATTTGAACTACCCCTATGGGGCAGTAAAAAATAGCCACAGAACTCTTAACTCTATGTTGCCCCCTGGTAATTTAGTTTAGGCCGTCCAGGTGCCCTAAATACTTGGTAAGATTTGACTCTCTAGTAAGAGAGTTTAAGATTGGAGCATTAATGTAAATGGTCAGCAGTAAATTTAGTATCGTTTTCTGCCATCAGCCTTCCTATCTTTAACCATTCCATGAAGTAGAAACTTGGCACTGCAAAAATTTGCCTGTTATAGAAAGGTAGTCACATGTTGGTCTTCCTTTCTGATAAAAAGAGCAACATGTGCCATGGAATTAACACCCATTCATCTATTTTCATTGCCCTTCGATTCAGTTGGCACCATGATTAAACTCCACAGGGCTAATATCTGTTCTGACTTGTGGAAATGGGTCTCCTTTCTAACTGAACATTATATGTTTTTTAGCATTTTCAGGAAGACAATTATTAACACATCACTACACTTTAAATAAATCAGTTAAAATTCCTGCTCAGGTATGATTACTATTTAGTTCATAAACAAAAAAGTAAGAAAACTTTTCGTATTAGTTCTTCTGCTATTTATGTAATGAATCTTAAATCATAACAATATTCCATGCCTAATCAAGCAGACACCAGATTTATGTAATTATCTTCTGTCAAGGAAAAAAACCCTCTCAGGCATGTATGTGCTCATTTAAACATCAATGTAGGTGTTAAAGAAAAGGTCTTTTGATGTGAAATTGAAAAGGGTTAGGGTTAAATACACTGAGTTTGTCAGCTGGAAAGCTGACAGCCCAGATTCATGAGTGTTGCATGATGGGGTAGGTTCCCATTTCTTGCCCCATCTCTTTCCCATGTAGCAGTTTGATAGTATGCAAATGTAAATAGATAAATAGATACGGTACCACTTTAGTGCGAAGGTAACAACGTTCCATACGGCTTGTCAAATAGTCATGCTGGCCACATGACCATGGAAATGTCTTTGGACAACACTAACTCCCTCAGCTAAGAAATGGAGATGAGCACCATCCTCTAGATTCGGACATGACTGGACAGGGGAAACCTTTATCTTTTGAATAGGACTTCAAATATTCATTTGTCATTCAGCAAGGATAACATATTTTTCTTATATTCTCTCATACATAAAAGTGTCTATATATTCATGCAAATATGTATGGATTTATCATATTCCTGCTCTTATCAATCAGTTGAGCCAGGACCAGCTCTCCAATAAAAAAAATTAAAAAAAAGCCACAGTAGTGGCCAAAATTGTGGAAACCTTTTGGGAAAAGTGTATTTTCTAAAACTAGCTAATAACACCACTTTTTTTTTTTTGGAGTAGTACCAGGGATGGGTTTTACTTACCTTTACTACCAGTTTGCATTGCGCCAACAAAGCTGGCTGGGAAATTCTGGGAGTTGAAGTCCCCAGACTTAAAGTTGCCAAGGTTGGAGACCTCTGGTCTAGAAAACTGAGAACAGCTATCCAGCTTTACAAGTACAAGTTAGGTTGCAGGTATAAAACTAGGGGCCTGCCCAATCATACTCCTGGCTTTGCTCATTATTTCCCTTGTGCAAGTGAAGTCAAAATTGTCATTACTTGCTATAAGATTTCCTTGTGTAATCTAGCTATCAACTTGTGTAGGCAAAGCAGAGATAAATTTTGGCAAAGGCTCTGCTCACATGTGCAATTTCCCAAAACCCAACAACCTTCTCAAATTATGATTTTGTAGGGTTTTCTGGTCCACTGTTTGGAAATCCCTAGCTTAGTATGTTAGATGAAGTAAGCATTATCTCTGGGTGTCATAGTGCAATTTCCTAGGTGTCAGTTTTCCACATTAGTGATTAATTCTATAATACTTAGGTTGGTTAGTTTTTCCAAAACTAAACAGCAAACCTCAAAACAGTTTTTTTTTTAAAAAAAAACAGCTAATTGGCCTTGTAGCTTTTGAAAGTAGCAAAACAAGTCCCATTATAAGAAATATATGATGGTATACAATATACCATCAGTACACTAAAATTGTTTTTCGTACTACTGAGGTATCTGTTTATGAAGTTTACAAGTAAGCAGTATATATCTGTTTAAAAGAAAGGGTTGCTACACAAATGTTTGTATGAAATGGGTAAAGAAGTATGGACTGATAGGATAGAGGACTGGTTTGAGATTTAAATGGGAGGCCTTTACATTTATAAAAGATATAAATTACAGAAGATTTTTCTGAGTAGCACATCTTGTGGCATGTTCCTCATATTGCCAAAACAATCCTTAGTCCTGTGTAGCTTTGATCCTGTGTCTTTGTTGAAGCATTTGACAATTACCAGTCAAATATTATTACAGCAGCTGTCCCATTAAGGAGATTGAGTCATACTTCTTAATTCCTTTTGGCTTTTCTATGATTCATCTTTCTTCTTTTAGAACAATAGTCTTTCTTTTGAAAAAGAAATTGTAGGAGGCCACTGGTGTGTAAAGCAAAATATTCAAGTATGAAAGTAAATTGTTAAGCCTAAACACTTTTGAATACTTTTGTTGAGAGACAAACAGATACAACGTTAATTTTGCATAAGCCATTTTTGTTGTGGCTGTTTTTCAGTAGTTGCTACAGGGACAGGGAAAATAAAATTGAGTGTTTCCTCAACTACCATCATTTCAGTGCAAATGTTTTATATCTGCTTTATTAACCACAAGTTTTCATCTGTGGCTAATAGGAATAAGGAGATTTAATTTTCATAAGATTATAACAGAGAGGAAAAAAGTAAATCTTTGTCTTCATTCACCATTGTGCTCTAACATTATATTTAAATGTTTTGTATTATACATATCAAACATGAGCTGCGGTGGCACAGTGGTTAGAATGTAGTACGGCTACTTCTGCTGACTGCCGGCTGCCTGCAGTTTGGCAATTCAAATCTCACCAGGCTCAAAGTTGACTCAGCCTTCCATCCTTCTGAGGTGGGTAAAATGAGGACCCAAATTGTTGGGGGCAATATGCTGACTCTGTAAACTGCTTAGAGTGGGCTGTAAAGCTATTGCTATTGTATATTAACTTATTTGTTAGATTTAATTTCTGCCCTTTTTGAAATATAATACATAGCTCTCTTTTCTTAACTAATGTAAAGTCAGCAAGTGAGAGGAATGGGGAATTTGAATCTGAAGCTTTTTGTCCCCAAGCTATACCTTAACCATGGCATTACAACGATTATTTTCATTTAACTAGAACTACCATATTGGAACTGCAAAAAAAAAAAAAAAAGGAGAACGCAAAGACAGTGTTTAATGAACTATTTTTGTGCTGTTTTAGTTGATGCTATATTTTAGTCAATGGGGAAGCAGGCAGGAGGTCACAAATGGTGACCATGTGACATACTTGCTTAATGTTTAATAGTGATTCATTCAGCCAGAAGTGCCAAAATTTCTATCACTAAGCTGCATGGTCATGTGACATTGGGCTTTTTGGACCACCTAACTTAACAACAGAAATTCCAATGCCGATTGCTGTCATTAATCAAGGACTACCTCTATACCCAAAATCAACAGAGAGTATTTAGTCAAAACTTCCAGAAATAACTAGAAGTCAGCACGGGTTTGTTAAAAACAGATCATGTCAAACCAATCTTATTTCATTCTTCAACACAGTGACTAAATTACTAGACCAGTGAAATACTTTGGACATAATATACTTAGACTTCAGCAAAGCATTCAACAAAGTAGACCACAACCTACTTCTTGGTAAATTAGAAAAAAGTGGGATAGATAGCATCACCATCAGATGGATTTGTAACTGGCTGACATACCGTACTCAATGAATAGTCCTTAATGGTACTACATCTACTTGGAGGGAAGTAAACAGTGGGGTAACACAAGGTTCCATCTTAGGCCCAGTACTCCTCAATATCTTCATAAACGACTTAGATGGAATAGAAGGGAAACTTACCAAATTTGTGGATGATACTAAGCTGGCAGGAATAGCTAACACCCTAGATCAGCGGTCACCAACTGGTGGTCTGCGGACCACTGGTGGTCCGCAAGAAAACTTTGGTGGTCCGCAGAAAAATTATTTGCATTTTTTATATTGCACTAAATCAGGGGTCCTCAAATTACGGCCGCTGGGCCAGATACGTGCAATGAACGTTTGTGTTGCTGCAGAGAGTGTCCTCCTTCGGGGTCTTTTTGGGTGGATCGGGGGAGCAGAAATTCGACTTGGGGTCTGCTTCGGCCTCCTAGTGTAGGGCTTTGGGTGAAGGCTGGAGGGAAGCACCTTTGATGGGGAAGAGCCAGAGGGCCTTGTTCCAGTGGGACTGCATCATGGCCTGGAACTGGCTTACCATCTCAGCCCGCTGAGCCTTCAG